TAGGATGATTTTCTGGAAGATGGCAGTATGGTGTTTTATTCTAACAAAATCAGTATATTTCAACACTTTTGACAGATGGAGGTAAAACATTTTTTAAGAAGTGCACCTTTTTCAAGTATGCACAAATTTGCCATATGGGCAGCCAGAAAATGCGTTGAGTAGAACCAGGATACAGATCTGGGCAGTAAGGCTCCAGGGAGATGCTAGAAGTATGTTAGAAGGATGTGTGACTTCAAAATTGCAAAAACAAAATAAGGTACCATACATAAAGCATAAACATTTGTTGTTGCCACATAGTTTTCAGGGAAGAAGAAACTATCTATGTACTAATGCAGAATTATAGTGCTCCTTTGTTTCTAGATATTTTACCAGAACTCACAGACCTTCATTTTTATGGCCTGGGCACTTCATTTGTTATGGAAAAGCAGTGATTTCCTACCCTTATTTCAGATCTTGCCAGTCCCCCAAAAAGGCCCAATATTCACTTACGTTGATAATAAATGTGACAGTCTCCACAGACGTCTTTTGAAATAACTTTCCCCTCATTCCTTTTTGGAATAATTTTCTCCTCATTCCTCTTTTTCTTTTCACTAGTTCTGGAGAAACTTGGGGAAAAAAATTCAGAGCTGGGCTTTGTCCTTATCTTCTGTAAGATAAGGACAATGTGTGTCGTGTGTGTGTGTGTGTGTGTGTGTGTGTGTGTGTGTGTGTGTGTGTGTTAAATTTATTAAATTGTCCATATACATTTTCCTCTTGACCTTTTTCCAAGCATCCAATCACAGCATTTTCACTTGTACTGACCCTGACAAAATCATTACTGACACATAAGGAGCCCCTCAAGGAAGCTAGATGTCTTCTCATCAGGTGGCTGAACTTCCAGAGTAGAATCCTCAGTTCTTCTGGACAGGCACCCTTCCTCTGGTTTTGTTTTGTTGCAAAACTTACTTTTCACTCTGACCATGAAAATACACATTAATTAGTTGGAGAAACAATATGTGTTGACAAAGGAAAGTAGTGATGAGAGGAAGTTCACTACTTTCACTACATAGAAGATTCTGGCAGGATGGCCTGCTAACATATTATTATGATAATAATCCTTATAATAAGTAGGATGTACTAGTCCCCCAATAACAGAGACATTTTTCCAGTTAGTTCTCTTTTTTTCTGCCTCATGTAAAGACAGAACTATTGGGCGCCTGGGTGGCTCAGATGGTTAGGCATCTGCCTTTGGCTCAGGTCATGATCCCAGGGTCCTGGGATCAAGTCCCGCATCAGGCTCCTTGCTGAGCAGGGAGTCTGCTTCTCCCTCTCCCTCTGCCTCTCCCCCTGCTTGTTCTCTCTCTGTCTCTCTCGCAAATGAATAAATAAAATCTTAAAAAAAAAAAAGGACAGAGCTATTATTGTGGCTCTCTGAACCCCCAGGGGGAGGCAAGAGTAGCTGAAGTAGGACAACGTTGGTAAGACCTATACCTGCCTGGTGAGTGCAAGGGCCTCTTACCTTGTAGAACTATATAGACAATTTTATGTTGAACAGCTCCTCTGGGGAGAGCAGGTGAGGAGATGAATGACTTGGAAAGAATTTACCAAGAATTGGGGTAGAAAAAAAAGTACTTAACAGTTTAAATACTACATTTTAAACAAAAGTCCCAGGGGGTAACTGTGGGAGGCTGTAAATCCCTAATACTGACTGGTTTCTGAGACCCTTCAAATCCTAAATAAAGATTATAATCTAAATATCAGTCCCCTTCTCTTTTCTCTATATGCCACATATTTTTTTCTCTTGTCTCCCTCACTCTGAAAGTTAAGTTTTAAACAAATTTTATAGAGAAAGGAACTAAGCAAAAAAAAAAAAAAAGTATGTATACATAGCAAAGTTAATTTACTCAACAAATACTAAGCACTGATTATGGGCCAGGAACTCGGCTAAGAACTGGAAATTCATCAAAGAACCAGATGAACAAGATCCCAGCTCTCATGGTGTATATGCTAGTGAGAGTTACAGAAAAAGGGGAAAATTTTAAAAGGGTATTAAATGGGGCTCTCACCATCTTGGAGTTTTAAGTGAGGTCCTAAAGCTGAGAATAGTGTAATATACTCCAAATTCTAAATCAAAGTGTTAGATCCTTGAGGTTGCCTGTACAAGAGGATTGGATAAAATTAATTCTGCCATCTATTGCCAACACTCACCTCTTGATTATAAAGAGCAGAAAGCAAGAGAGGCCTGGAAGTAAAGAGTGATGGACAGGGTGTTGTCAGCAAGTAGCTCAGGCTATAAGGGAAAAGATTATTTCATCCTCAGAAAGTTTAATCCTCAGAAAGAGAAGTCTGGGAGACCTAGGGTCTAACATCTTACCACTCATGGCTGGAAGTCTTCAGGCAACCTTTGAGTAACCTTTGGTAGGAGGTTTCATTGGAAAGTATTTGCTATGGTCTAAATGTGCCTACACCCTCAAATTCATATATTGAAACCTAACCCACAATGTGATGGTGTTTGGAGGTAAAGCCCTCGGGAGATAATTGGGTCATGAGGAAAGAGCCCTCATGAATGGGATTAATGCCCTTGTAAAAGAGTTCCCAGAGAGCTCCCTTGCCCCTTCTGTCATGTGAGGATACACTGAGTAGGCAGCCATCAATGAGGAAGAAGTCTCTCACCAGATACCAAATTGGCCAGCACCATGATCTTGGACTTCCCAGCTTCCAAATCTGTGAAAAATAAATGTTTGGTGTTTTTAAGCCATCCAGTTGATGATATTTTTGTTATAGCATCCTGAATGGACTGAGACCATCCTGTGTACCTTTGCTTTGGCAGTACAAAGCTGAATTATTGTCCCTACTCCATATATATTCTCTGCAAAAGGGATCTGTATATCATGTTATCTCAAAAGGGGATTACTCAAAGGAGTGAGATGACCCCAAGATGGTTGTTTGGGGGAGTAGGCTGTAAGAAGCCAGGAGTTGAAGAAGGTGCAATCAACCAGTACCTAAGGTATTAACTGTGTCAGATAACTGAAGATTGGAAGTCCTGAACTTGAGAAAGAATTAGCAGTCAGGCCTACAACACATAGAAGGCCTCATGCCAGGTTACAATGACTCAAGTGAATTAAGTCCTTTTATATCTCACCTAGCTCTGTCTTTGTTCCAATTCTGAAGTTTCAGGGAGCCTACACCTGAGGGAAGAGGAAGGAAATGAAAGCTAAGGGGAATAGTAAAGAAGCTGATCTTGCCCTCTTTGTCCAATGCAGTCTTTCTAGCCTGAAACAGGCCCAAGCTGGGAGAGCTAAAAAGCTTCAAATAGCATAAGTCAAAGAAACTAAAGTGTAGATGCTTCACTGGATTGGAATTTTAATATCTGAGTGGAATAGAAGCTATAGGATTATCCATTGTGGAAGATAATGAGTCAAAGAATCAAGGTTAATAGAAAGTTGTTTTCTGCTTTCATATACCCAAATCTGGCTCATTCAATAGTTAGGATTTTAGAGAAAAAATAACCTTGCAGATTGTGATCTGTGCTGTCAATGAGCTAAGCAGGTCAGGAGAGGCCTCTCTCAGACAAGTGTCCTTGAATCTGAGGCCTGAGTGGTGAGGAGGAGCCAACCAAAGAAATCTGAAAGAGCATTCTCACCTGAGAAAACAGTAAGAAAGAAGGCCACGAGACAGAAGCTTTTAATAATCTAGGCATGGACCAAAGGGCAGCATCAAAAACAGAAAAAAGAGGCCTCTGGGGTAAAGTTGGCATTGTAAACAGAAGTTTAATTCTGAAGTACCTTTTAGATCTTGGTCTTGAGTTTGAAATTAATTATAAAGGCAATAAGAAGCTATTAAAGGATTTGAAGGTGATCAGATTTGTATTAAAAACAATAACACCACCACCAACAACAAAGAAAGAAAATGACCCTGGCTTCTGTGAGGAAAATGTATGCTGGTGAGTTAAGGTTGACATAGGAGCACCTGCTGGAAGCATTTTACCAGTGTAGGTAAGATATGATGTCACCTTGGCCTAGGTAGAAGCGGAATTGGCTGAGATGTGGGTGGATTTCAGATATAAGCTGTAGGTAGAACTTAGGCCACACATTGAGGAGAGGGTCAATTAAGAATCTTTACTGGATGCTATTGGTGCCCTGCTATTACCTGCTTCACTGGTAGATATACCCATTTCCCAGCTGCCATGAGTGTTAGCTGCTAGTTTCTCACAGCTACTACCTTCTCTGGAGAATTTTCACAAGTTAAACAGTAACTGCAGTACTCAGAAATTTATGTCCTCCAATATCCCACTTGTGATGATCCAGAAACCTGACATGTGGTTATAAAAAGCCAGCATCCTTGCCTCAAGGTGAAAACACCTTAGTGTACAATTTGTACTCCAGAGTTTCCCAGTGGGACCATGTTGGAGCGTGGGACCATGCTGGAGCTGGTCTCACTGAGCTGTTTTCCTCAGTCCTCTCCTGTTTTCCTACCCACTTTCCCTGAGGGCACTCACTAAATAAGTCATTTGACTATCACTAAAACAATATCAATACAATAAATCGCTTGAGAATCCCTGTCTGAGGCTCTGCTTCTAGGGAACCCAAACTGAGAGAGGATTTAATCTTGAACATGTTACTTTTGATATGAATTTGAGGCATCCAAGTGGTAATGTTAAGTAGGTAGGTTGATACATGTTTCAACCTTGGAGAGGTGGAGTATTTGGACATCAGTAGCATGTGAATGGTATTAATAGCCAGAGAAATGGATGAAGTCTCCAAACAGGTGTATTATAAGAAAGTCTAGGACTGAGCCCTGAGATTGACAACATTTAGAGGTAGAAGATGAAGATCCCACAAAAGAGGAAATATGGTATCTTGGAATCTGAAGAAACTGTACCTTTATGCCTAGATTTGGGGGTTATAATGGGGTTCTACTATATGATATCATGGGAAGTATTAGACTCCCTAGTGACCATTGACTGTCTCTTTTACTATACAACATGGAGAAAATTCAAGAAATGTGATTTTCTGTTACAGATCATTTAATCATTGATACCTGCAAACTGACGCTTTGAGTCTTCATAATGCTAGGTAAGGTTATTTCATGTTAACTGCACGATTAACTCATGTCATCAATGAAACTTTTTTCATTTGAATTAAGTTCCCAGTCCCTATAAAATTAGAATTTTCCTCATTTGCTGAAGTCTTCCAATTACTTTCTAAGTTGAATTAGTAGTGCACTAAACTTTTATTTCCAGATAAATGAGTTCAAGTAGAGGTCATCCATGCAAATGAGTTGAGTGATCTCAAACTAGCATTTAACTGTGTCAGTAAGTTCTATCTATATTGGTTTATTTTTAAAGGCAAATGAATGGTAAGAATATGGATTTTGTGTATTTATTTAAAGAGATATTTCTGAAAATGACTGTATTTTCATCTAAATCTTCAGCACCCATCATGTAACTTATCAGGGAACAAAGTTTACGGCAGGCCAGAGAATCACAAGATGAAGAGACAACAAGCCAAAGAGGTAGTCTAGTAACAAAGATGCTCTGAGTTAAAGATGCCATGGAAAGTTAATCTATATAAATTATTAAAGTTTAAACTAAATTATAAGGTAATGAATTCTTATTATGATAAAGCTCCAAATTTTCAATTCTCATTTAATCTTTCCTGCAATGCTTTCAGTAAGTAGTATTTTTTTCAACTTAATGGTGGTCCAAATAAAAAAAATAAAATCCAAGCAACTTGTTTAAGAAAGCAAAACTAGTAAATGGTAGATTAGGATTCTAATCTAGGTCCTCTGATTCCAAGGTTCATACTTTTTCTCCCATACCAAGATTGACCATGAAGGCCCAGCTTATTATCCTTAGATGTTCCAAGTGTCTTCAGTGTTGCAACAGAAATGAACTCCAGAAGATAAGATTCAAGGGAGAAGTTGGAGGCCATTAGTGAGTCTGAAAAAAGTGTGTTAGTTGATACCAGAACCTTATTACCAATGTCTGGTCTGGTAAACACTGAATTGCTGCAACCCCTGGGAGCTTGGGTCATCTAACTGAGGACCCAGCTATGGATTATACAGGTGATGCATCATTCTTCTGCCTTATTCAAATACAATGATGCTTTTCTCTTTTTACTACAAAAGGGCAATGATGAGGACAAAACAGGTGGCATTCTCCAATACTATAACATTCACAAATGTTAGATGCAGTAGTGGGTTTCCCAAGAACTAAAGTGGAAGCCAATATTTATGAAGTCCAGCTGCTAGTTGCCTTGGAATATCCCTCTTAAAATTAGTCTCAAGGGGGTTCTAATTTCCTGCTTAACTAACAAGTCTTTAAAATGTGTAAGATCACTTGTTAATCAACTCACTGCCATGTCCTACTCTTACTTGGGGATTTACAGAAATATTTGAGTCAGGGTAGTTCTAGGAAGACTGTGCTCACTGCAGATAAGCAGGGCAAAAGTTCAGAACTAGTCAGACTTGGATGTCAATATTAAAATAATCATATCTGTACTCAGAAAATGGAATATTTTACATAGCTGTTACAATCAAGGTCTGGTAAAAGTCCTTTCACCCAAGCTTATTACGAGCTAGGACAATTCTTACCTAAATTCCATTATACCATTAACTTTTATGCATCCATTCAGGTCTTAGTTTACTTAAAATTTTTAACTTATCATTCTGTGCTACTAAAGGAATATATCTTCTCAAGCCGGTTCACTGTAGTTTCAAAATATATCTTAGTAGTGGACTGAATGGTGGTCCCCACAAAGATATACCCATGCCTTAATCACCAGAACCTGTGAATATGCCTTATTTGGAGAAAGGGTCTTGGCAGATGTAAGTAGGTTAAATATCTCAATCGAGTGATGTCATTGGATTATTTAGGTGTACCTTAAGTCCAATGGCAAATGTCCTTATAACACCTTACAGCAGGAAGAAACACAGAGAAGAAGGCCATATGAATACAGAGGTTGGGGTTATGCAGTCACTAGCCAAGGAACCCATGGAGCCAGTAGAAACTGGAAAAGGCAAGGAAAGATTATCTTCTAGAGCCTTCAGAGAAAGCCAAGTGCTGCCAACATCTTGATTTTAGATTCTGGCCTCCAGAGCTCTAAGACAATAAATTCCTACTGTTGAAAGCCACTAAGTTCATGGTAATTTGTCACAGTGGCCACAGGAAACAAATGCAATTAGTAGCAGCATTGAAACTATACAATAACTATAACACAAATATTGTAAAAAGTGGGATACATACTCTAAGAGTATGGTTACCGCATAAGAGGTAAGGTTATTCAACACCTACTAACATTTTGGGAGCATTTTGTGCTGAGAACTATCCCCAATTTCTCTGTAATTTTAAACCTATAGAACCATACAAAATGGGTGAGACCATCCTGATTTTACAGCTGATGAAACTGAGGCTCAAAAAGGTTAAGATTTTTCCTGAAGACCACTGCAAGAAAGTAAGAGAGTGGGGATTTGTGTCTAACTTCAAAACCTTTGCTCTTTCTAATATATCATTCATCCTGTTCCACATGGTGATCATTGCTTTTAGGCCATCTCAAAATTACGGTAAACTGGTGGTATAGCTGAAGATAGTATAATACAAATGTTGGCTGACAGAGACTTAATGTCATTAAAAACACTGTAATTATCATCTTCCAGTTTTAAAATACTTCTTTGGGGATCTTGATTCTCTTCCTAGAAAAAGGCTATGCGTGAGCTATTGGTGAATCAGATTTACATCCTCCTTTGCTCAATGTCTTCAGGAAGATTTTTAGAAGCTAAAAATTACTCATGAGACTGACAGTTCACTCCTAAGTAATTACCAAAAAAATCAACAAAAATTATATTTGTTGAATATGAACTAAGAGTATAGATGGGTTAGATGAAGTTTGGCAAGGTCTGACCTAAATTCTTAGCAAATTTTGGGGAGGATTCCAAAAGTTCCCATGCTTCTCATGGCCAGAAGGTTATGTCTGCATGAGCAATTATACCCCCCCCCAAACCTCTTAGAATGATAACTTTAAGAAAAGAAAATCATATTGTAACCATCCCCTAGAAGTTATTCTTAAATTGCTAATATACTCCTAGCTCTTTCCTTGGACAAAGTGAACAAACTGCTGAGATTGTGAACATTTGTTATTGTCATAGCAGAAGGTAAACTATTTTCATAAATATGCAAATATCTCCTACTGGGCTTCTATAATATTTCCAGCAACTGTGCTGCAGCGTATGTCTATTTCAAATCTGATGATATTAAAAAGGAGGAGAAAGTGCAGAGCATGCAGCTTGGAAATATTTCTGCCCAGGAAAGCTAGCAATTAGAGCAAGGGATAGGCGAGCAGCCTGGGATAATGAACAGTACCAAGATAACCTGCTTAATTTGATCTTCCTCCAAGTCTGAGGATGTTGTAAAGGAATGGGCTTTGTTTCTGTAGGGGAATATAGTGAAACACAGGCAATCTCTTTATGATATCCCTGCTTATGTACTCAGAGGTTTGTATTATTTCAAAGAAAAGTAATACTTAATCTAAGACAAGAGCCCCTTATCATACTGTTTGTTTGCTTGTTGCTGGGGGCGGGGGGAGGCTTTCTCTCCACCATTCTGTGAGATTAGGGAAGTCAGGGACCCTTGACAACAGCCCCTTGGAATGTCCACATAGCCTGCCATGCTGCTGAAGTAAAGGAGGCTTTCCTTTTTTTTTTTAATTTTTTTAAAAGATTTTTTTTATTTTTTTGACAGAGAGAGAGAGCATAAGCAGGGAGAGTGGGAGAGGGAGAAGCAAGCTCCCTGCTGAGCAGGGAGCCCGATGTGGGGCTCGATTCCAGGACCCTGGGATCACGACCTGAGCCGAAGGCAGACGCTTAACGACTGAGCCACCCAGGTGGCCCAGGAGGCTCTCCTTAAGCATGGGTTAAATGAATGAGTGAATAAAAGAGAGGGAAAGATAGAGAGAATGATAAGAGCAAAGGTTTTGCAATCAAACAAGACTAGGATTAAGTCCTTGCTCTACCAGCGACTTGATCTCAAAAAAGTTCATAATGTCTCTGAGCCTCAGTTTTCTCATCTGAAACTACTAGACACTGGGCCTGGCTTGTATTAAGCATTCAATTCATGGCAGCTGTTATTAAGTTCTCAAGATAGTAAGCTCCATAGCTGACCCTGGGAGAGTAGGCCTAGTAAGGGATTTATTTTCTTTAGAAAAGGTATTTTTGAGCCCCCACGGTATGACAGATGCTGTGCCTGGCTCTTGAGATACACAGATAAAACACTATGGCTTCTACTTTCACCACAAAGTGGAAAGATATATACTTAATAATAATAAGTGTAAAATGTATTATCTATTATTATAAAAATGTTATTGTTAGTATTAAAATATGATGGACATTTTAACAGCCATGCACAAGAGTCAGTGGGAACATATTATAAAGAATGTCAGAGAAGACAAGACAGGGAGACAGGGATAGTTATATAGGGAGGTAGTTAAACTTATTAGTGATCCCTGAAATTACATAATAATATTAAGAATTTTTGGAAATGGGCTGAGTTGAAGGTCACAGAGTATTTCAGGGATAATAACTAGCCATTGCCAAGACACTGAAGCAATTACCAGTGTTCCTAGAAGGGTTGTAAAAATCTCCTTGACCCCAAATCTTTCCCCAACAATGGGTTCCTTCTTTTGAACACTGCCCTGTCCTCTACCTGGGAAGGTAGAACACAAAGTGTATGAGGCTGCAGTGTGCATGGGTAGTTTAGACACAGTTTTCTGTGTAGAAGACAATTCCCCCCAGGCAAGCCTAGGTGAACATAAGGCAAAGCAAACTAGGTTTCATGACACATTCCAATTTTTCATAAATTTGTCTAAAGTAGCCCGACTGAATTTTTAACATATAGAGCAATACATATTTAAGGGAAATATTCATAGCTTCCTATGCCATTTCCAGGCACAAAAGTTTCAGGTCTGGAGCTCTTTTTTTAAAAGAGCTGCTGCCTTTTCTCTTCCTACATCCACATGCATATTTGGAGGACAGCTCTGCCAGGAACTGGGACCTCCCAAGGCAGATCTCTGTTACTTTGCCC